CAGATATCGTCAGGAGCTGAAATTTAGTGTAAACAATAGAAGTGATTGTTATGGTTATAATTACATTCAAATTTTTACAACCACTATAACAATCACTTTTATTGTTTTCACTCCATTTCAGCTCCTGACGATATCTGGCTGAACTGATTCATCTGGCTGAAAATATCTCATTATAATGTCTGGTGAAGAGAGCGATACATGGGATTCGATACAAAACCCAGAGGATATTATCCATTCGTTTCCAAAGCGTGCTCGTAAATCATTTAAATTATTTTTATCTTTTAATTTGAATTCAAATTTATTCAACAATTTGAATTCAGTCAAGTAATGGCACACCTCTTCAAATGAATATTCTCCATGAAAGTTTATTGTCTCTAATGCTGGTAATACACTCGCAATTTTCTTTACATTCATCTCATCTATGTACAGTAGATTGCCAAATGTCGACACACGACCAAATGTCGGAATACCAAGAGGTGAATTGAAATTAAAAATTGAAAATTCATTTGAATTGCATTTTTAAAAGTAAATTATGAAAGATCAATATCAAATCTCTTTATTATAATCCAAATTTTAATCAAAAATCTATTATTGCTTTCACAAATTACGTTCAAAAAAAATTCGGCATTTTTATCACTTTTTCACGTCAAAAGTTAAACTATGTCATTTTGAGACAAGCCGGTAAAATGCGTTTTTTTATATGAAAAAATAACTAGTTTGGAAAAAAAAATTATATCGGCGAATTGTAGATAGTTTAATTTAATTATTGAACAGAAATTTTGAAAATATAAAGAAAAACAATTATATTTATTTTTCATTTTTCACTGTAATATTATTCCGGAATAAATCGTCCAATTGCCGACACATAAAGCACCGAAGTTTCAAGTGAAACACTTTGGATTTGACAGATGTGACAGTTAAAGTCGTATTTGGATCATTGTGAAATTCAAACCAAAAATATTCTAGATCAGTGAAATAACGTAATATTTTTAAATATTTTTGCCACTTTACTATAGAAAAATAAGTAAAATAAAATATGGAGCAAAAATATATCAATCTAATAATTTTAACTCCAATATTTTGTATTGTTTACCTCAATGTAAATAGTGCGTTCATGGGCTGTCAAAACTTAAAGTTTACAAGTTTCGTAGTGAAAATGCATGAAATATGTCGAGATTAGGGAGCCGAGAATTGGACGACGAATATCCGACATTTGGAATTTTCGATGTTATGACGAAAAAATGGAAAAAAATAATACATTTTTGGAAATTACTATCTTTTGAGAAACGTGAAATGAAGCACAATTAAATTCTGCATCGAATTGTGTATAAAGTGATATTTTTTCATGAAATCAAAAATGTTAAATATTAAATTGAAGTTGAAAATTCAAACAAATAGTCCGACATTTGGGCGAGTGTCCATACATATAATGCAAAAGTGATAGATAATCAATTGTTGGACATTTGCTGATGAATTTGAAGAATTCATCGCTGTATCGACAAATTGTGCGAATTCCTAAACTTTTCAGTCGATCGAATGAAAATGGAATTTTGGGAAATAATTCATCTTCCTTTAGTTTCAAACTAATATTGAATTTATTCAAACTTTTAAAATGAATTGTATCCCCTTCGTAGCTTAAATCTTCCTTGAACTTGACATATATTTGGAGAATTGCAAGTGATTGTAAATAGTCTGCAAGTAGCTGCATATTCAATCCTGACCCCAAGTTCACATTGAAATAAAGAGTTTTACGGGAGTAAGATGAACTTTTCCGCACGGTGGTAGTTGCGTATTTTATTAAGAAAGTTCAAAATAATTTTTCAAGACTTTCATGATGAACCCATTTGTACGACATTTGAAAGTATTCTATTTTCTAACAAAACACTATAAAAAATATGACTGACGTTAATTTTGCCATAAAAATTATTTTTGAAACACTTTTCATAACTAAAGTCACAAAAAATTTGAATTTTTGTATGGAAGCCATGTCTGTATGCTACCTTAGTGGCGTGAAACTTTGCACAGGTTATTTTTTTCACAAAAAAATAACATTCGGAGGGTTTGGAGAAATTTCAACCAAAATTAAGAGTACCTCCCATACAAAATGTTCGTGTTTGAGCCAAAAATTGAAAATTTTGTATGGGAGGTACTCCTAATTTTGATTAAAATCTCTTCAAACTTTCAGAATGTCATTTTTTTGTGTGAAAAATAGTTTTGCAAAGTTTCACGTCACTAAGGTAGCATAAAGGCATAGCTCCCATACAAAAATTAATTTTTTTTTTGGTTTTTTCAAGAAAACTGTATCAAAACTAACGTCGGATTCGGTTTTCTTGTGCCAAAAAACCCCCCAATACATATTTTTGAGTGTTTAAGTCGACATTAAGTATGACTTTTGGACGAAAATTGGACTCTTTTTCATAGGTATCACTCCAGGCATGACATTTTTTTCCATCAACCAAAGTCGCTCAAAAGCTAATGATTTCTATTCCTCGTGGCCCCCAATCATCCTGTAAAGTCAGGTTTTAAATAACTTTTCTGGGGGCGAGAGTTATTGTGTTAACAAATTTTGCGTACGGCGGACAACGTGGAACAGACCCACAACAACCATGCTCAAAACGGCCTGTTTCGGGTTCTATACCAACTTTTGTTTGAGATTTTTACAAGAAAATGAACTCTTAAAGTTATAGAAATATGTGAATTAAAATTTTTCTTAAATTACGTCGAATTTTGTCATTATCTAGAATTGAAATGCTTTCCTTAGTTGCTCAATTTCATGTATTCGCATATAAAAACAATCATCAATTTATTTTTTTCATCTTTAAAACAAACAAATGAGAATGAGTCATTGACATTAAGTGTAATGCTTATTGTTAGCATACATAACCATCTAAAATTACCCAAATATCTCAAAATTATCAATAATAATTTAATTTCTTCCATACAATTTCAGCTCACATCGGGGGCACGTCCACCTCGTGATGTAACAGATGAACCTGATTTATCAAATGCCTTGGAAAGCTTTGGTAAAAGCTTAAAGGAACATCAAGACACCATTCAACAAGAGTTTAACAAATATGCCACAAAAGAGAATTTGGACGTATGTATCGCAATTGTTTTGTGCAAAATTTATTATGATTTTTCCGTAATCTTTTTTAACCTGGTTTTGTACTGAAGAAATTTATTAATTTGTTGTTTTTTCATCATTTTACAGAAATTATCACAAGCATTCCAAAACTTAGGCAATAATTTAGGTAAAACATTCCAGGATGGGTTGAACAATTTGCAGACCCAGTATGGTGAATTCACAAAAAACCAAAAGAAAGCAGATTGATACCAAACAATTTCAGCAGAATCAATGATAATTAATGGAACTCTTGATTCGTTATTTTTTGTTCGATTTTTGTAAAATATACGAACAAATTATTTTATAATTTGCTGATTGAATAAAATATTTTTTAACAAGGCAAAAACTGTTTGAATTTTAATTTTTTCAATTTCCATTTAGATTTTACTATTTTAGATAAGATCTTCCTTTGAAAGAAATTTCAATCAAGTTAGAATGAATCTTGATGAATATCCTATCAATCTTTTTCTGAACTATATGACCACACAACGTTTGCACAGCTGCACCACTTTGTTTGTTTGGTATTTGTTGGCTATTTATAGAGAGAGTGCAAGCTTGGTTCAGCGTCGATACATTATCAGTGACTCCAATTGTATTTAAAACATACCGAACCAATTCGAAGAGCTGAGTCGTTAGCTGATCGCTGAAGAGTTGACTTGAAAAATAAAATTCAAATCTTTGTTAAAATGGCAAAATTGGACCTTTTATTTATTACTGTATTCTGTCTGGTCCAAGTAAGTACAGATGTTTTTAAATCAAACACATGATAGGTTTTGAACTAGTTGGAATCGGTCGGAATTATATCAGTTGAACGTGAAACTAATTGTTCAATTATCCATATTAATTGAATAATATTTGTAGAAAAAATCTACTGTATAATTTTTCGTTTTATTTGTTGCATAAACCAAAACCTTTTTTAATAATTTAAATTAAGAATTGACTTGGTTTCTCAAGATTCGCTTTCAATTTTGGTGAAAAGAAATAAGTGTTGATTTTTTTCATAATCGTTATTTTAACTAAAATTGAAATGCTTTCCCTGTCCTTTCATTCGCGCTTTTTAGTTTTTTTTTATCAGAGTTTTGAGTACATTTGCTCAACTTCGTGACTTTTCATATAAAAACAATCATCCATTTATTTTTAAATTTTTAAAACAAACAAATGATAATGAGTCTTTGACATTATATGTAATGCTTATTGTAAGCGTACCAAACAATCGAAAAAAAAACTTATTTTTGCGCCTAAAAATACCCAAATATCACGAAATTATTAATAATATTTTGATTTCTTTCATACAATTTTAGCTTATATTGGGAGCACGTCTACCTCGTGATGTATCCTCGGAAAACGTTGGTGCGAGAGCAAATAAACATTTTGACGAACTTCAACAAGAGATTAAACAAACTTTCACAAAAGAGAATTTCAACGTATGTATCGCAATTGTTTTGTGCAAAATTTATTATGATTTTTCATAATCCCTCTTAACCTGGTCTTGTACTGAAGAAAGTTATTAATTTGTTGTTTTTTCATCATTTTACAGAAATTTCACGAAGAAGTCGCAAATTTGGCCACAGTTAATAATAATTTACTTAAATCAATCCAGCATGAGTTTAATAACACTTTGCAGAACGAGTTTGATAAATTTCAGCAGAATCATTGACAATTCTATTAAATATATCGAGAAGAGAGTATGTTATTCAGCGCTTTAAACTTGGTGTGATTATTTACTTTGATAAGAAAATAATATTCACAAGTTTTCACGGTAATTTAAGTTACTGCAACCATACATAGAACATAATTTCTGTTTATTCCCAAAATTTCGGTTCCATGCGGAAAAGTCAGCTTGCGTACGTAAGCCTCTTCATTACTTTTCCGCACACACCTAGTGTGTAAGGTAAAGTATTGGAATCGGTCGAAAAATTAACACCCTCAAAAAACATGTTTTCTGGGTGTTTTAGGAGCCAGGGAACACGAATCTAGCATTTTTTCGATGTCCGAATGTATGTGCGTGGTACCCTGTACGCTGTACGCTGTACGCTGTACCCTGTACGCAAAAATTTGTTAACACGATAACTTTCAAACAAGTAATTCAAAATCTGACTTCACAGGATGATTGGGGATGCCGAGGAATAGAAACCATTAGATTTTGAGCGACTTTGGTCGACAGAGTGAAGTGTCATGTCTGGTGTGATGCTCATGGCCATCCATGGGAAAAATTCAATTTTTCTTCCAAAAGTGATATTTAATGTATATTTAAACACTCAAAAATGTGTTTTGGGGGGTTTTCGGGTACGAGAAAACCGAATATGACGTTATTTTTACGATACAAATAACTTTCGATACACTTTTCATACAAAAATTTCAAAAAATTTGGATTTTTCTATGGAAGCCATGCCTGTATGATATCGTAATGAGCTGAAACTTTACACAGGTTATTTTTTTCGCACAAAAATAACATACTGAAGGTTTGAAGAGATTTCAACGCATATTAGGGGTACCTCCCGAACAAAATCTTGGATTTTTCGCTCAAAAACGAAATTTTGTATGGGAAGTACCCTTAATATGTATTGAAATTTCTTCAAACTTTCAGAATGTTAACTTTTTGTGAAAAAAATAACCTCTGCAAATTTTCACATGATTACGATATCATATAGGCATGGCTGCGATACAAAAATTCCCATTTTTAGTAGTTTTTGTATGAAAATTGCTTCGAAAATTATTTGTATCGTAAAACTAATGTCAGATTCAGTTTTCTCGTGAATTCTTTGAGTTAAAGATTTGTAATAAATGCATGTTATGGATCACAGTGCGGAAAAGTTCATCTTACGGATGTAAGACATTTTATTTAATTTCGTTATAAATGAGATATTCTCATTAGCTGCATTTACACAGTCAAGTACACAATGTCGTAAATCATGTGTATACAAATGTCGTAAATCAGGGCAAATATTTGCAAATGTGTACAAATATTAAAAAACTTGCAAATATCTTCGGAAATACGCAAATTTTTTGCAAATACAGAATATTTGCAAATGGTGATTTGCCCCTAGACGAACAATAAATAAAGTCGATTTGAGATTTGGATGTAAAGTAATTCATTGTCAAATTTCATCAATTTAATATTACTTATGTTGCCATTGCAGTTTCATCTATTCCCTTTATTAATCACAAAAAACGGTTGCTCCATCCAATTCCATTTGCAAAAACTCAATGCTCAAACTGCTCCATGAACACCTCGTTCATGTTTCAATCTAATTTCACACAGTTTGAACATTCGATCGCAATATCTACAATCTACATTGCAACGTCTTATCTCCGTGCGTTTTTTGTGAATAATCAAGTATTTGCTGGTCGCATAATTCTTTTCACAAATGTTACAATTGAACAGTCGCAATTTCAGATGGATTGCATTGATGTGCTCCTTCAGTTGATGTGGTTTGAAAAATGACCGGCCGCAATCTTGGCACGAATGGTCTCGTCGTTTTTCATGTGTTCGTATTTCATGCTTTCGTCTCGTCGACGTCGATCGAAACGATTGCCCACAAATGCCGCACAAAAAAAGCCGCTCATCGGTATGCGTTCGCATGTGAATAATACGATTTAAATTTTGTTTGAACATTTCTACGGGCGTAATTCATCATTATTGACTTTCATGTGTTTTTCATAGTTTCTCGGCTTTATATGCATATCGTACACAGTTTTTGTTTCGCTTCTTTGATGTGACGACTCATGTGTTGTTTCAAATTACCTTTGTGATTGTATACGACTCCGGGACACATTTCACACTCAAACACGGCCATTGGATTTGGTTTCCATTTTCACAATCAAACACGGCCAATGAATTTGGTTTCCATTTTCTTTTATTTCTTTGATCGCCTGATTTTGTGGTTGCGCTGCTCTTTTTCGCCTTCGACCATGATGAATTGACTTTTCATAGGCTTTTATTTCGGAATTTTGTGAGAGTTTCCTTCAGCTCCTTTGGGTTCGACCACATTGAGTCTTCATCTATCGACTCATTTGGAATTTTTTCATCGAATTCACCTTTGGCACTTTTTTCGCCTTCGTTTTGGCAATGGTTGATCAATTTTTGATTTAGTGCCATTTTCACACCAAGTTTTAACATCATCTCCATATGATGCGATTCCATCACAACACTCTATTTTTGATGTAATCGTTTCATTTATTAGCAGCTCCTTTGTTAGGAAATAAGCTTCCGTTTCATGCTCGAAACCATTCACAAATACACTCTCAATGTACGGCTTGTCGTCTTGGTGTTTTGATAGAATATGCTCCTCCAAATTGCCTCCTAAATCAAATTCACTGTGGCAATATTTACAGTAGTACAGGAATGTGTTGAATTCTTTCCGCAGTAAAAATCCACAGAATTCATTCATTTGATCGATTGTGTAACACATTTTTATTTAATTTCGTCAATTTTTATTCTTTTGTTATCAGTCATACGTTTTGTCACTCGATTGTTTACATTTAGTCATTCAGATGAAATGTCATGACCAAATTCGAAACTGGAATTTCAAACAATTTCGAAATAAACATTTGAACCTTCGGAAAGTGAACTTGAAATTTCGAATGCAGGGGAATATGAATAACGAATGAAGAGAATTTAAATAAATTGGTCAACTTAAAATGAAAAGTTCAGATTTGCGATAGAAGGTGACTTGATGTTGAAATTTATTGAACGTATGATAGCTTTTCCATGTGTGTTCGAGTAAAATGATTAAGGCTCATTCGATTTTTTGGGAAATGTCACCCATTACAAGCTCAAAACCAAAAAGGTATCCAAATATGCAAAAACTCCCATGAGAATGGTCTTCAAGAACTCCTCGTATTTCGAGAAAATCTTAACATTTTTAGAATTGATGACTGAGTGGGAATTAAATTTTATTTGCATATGTCCGCATTTTAACGACATTTTATGATGATAATCATAACAAGTTCAACGCAAGTTCTACGTACCAAAGGTCTTCTCGTAAATTGGTTATTAAATAATTCGATCATGTGCATTGTTGGGGAAAATTCTACGGATGCAATAAAAATGATAAAATCATTAGCAATTTACTACTACCGACGGCGTCACAATAATGAATTTGCTTTGCGTGATTTTCAGTTCAATTCTATCGGACGCTCTTCAGTAAAAACAACCTTTGTTGCATATAAACGGTTGGTATTTATCCATGGGGCGAATCACGCTAGTGAATACTAGAAAAACTAGTAAATCTAGTGCGAAGAATGACGTCACAAATGAAGCCAACTTCACACCGAAGGCCATATAATTTATATGAAAAACTACTGAGAGACAACTTCACGCACTAGAATTTTCTAGTTTTCTAGTGAAATTTTATCAAAAACTAGACGCACTAGAATTTCGTGATTGACCCACTAGACGCACTAGAATTTCGTGATTGACCCCATGTATTTATCTAAAATATTCATTATTCATTTTAATATTGGTCATTACTACTTCCGGAAATCAGTACAAAATCACCGTATTATTCATATTTCGAGCGAAAAAGATATATATTATTTTTTTTCACCAAAAATCGTATAAAAGCTTGAAACCAGAGTCATTATTTTATTCAGACTTGACAAGACTTTCATTGACTAGACTTGAATAGACTAACATTGTTGTTTTTTTCCCGTTTACAATTTTATTACCAAAATTCACGATGTTTTGGTTGATTCTTTCTGTTTGTTTATTATCAAACACCGCACTAGCCGCAAATGTTGGTGATTTGAATCCAAGCACCGATTGCAAGACGCTTCTGGCTGAAAAATCTAGCGAACGAGAGAAAAATCCCGATTTGGTAAGAATTTAAAAAAAAAGTTTCACATAAAACCAGCTGGAAGTGATAATTTTTTGTATTTTCAAAGGCTAACCAACTCACTGCTAACGATGGAATGGATTTTACAAAAGCGGCATCGATTTATGATTTCACTCCAAAAGATACATTCCTTAATGATATTGCACTGGGTGACTTGTGTAGTGGTTTTGTGACAATCATTGTAAATATCGCATCGGGCTGTGGATTCACACCAGTGAATTATGAACAATTGACGCAATTAAATAAAGACTACAGCGACAGTAGGAGAAATGATATTTTAAAAAAGTCACTGAATTAAAATTTGATGAATTTTGTTACAGGGCTACGGATCTTGGCGTTTCCATGCAATCAATTTGCCAGCACTATGCCTGAGGGTGATGGCGATGAAATGCTTTGCCATTTGAAAGAACGCAACGCTGATATTGGAACCATTTTTGCAAAAGTATGAAGTCTATCGTTTTGCAGTGTTCGACGTCTAATTTTGTTTTGTATACAATCAGGTCAATGTAAACGGAGTTTCCGCCATTCCATTGTATAAATACCTAGAAGGACAAATGAGCGGAGTAAATGGCTCCGATGTTGAATGGAACTTTGCGAAATTTTTAATCGATAAAAGAGGTAAAGTGGTCAAACGCTATGAACCCACTACAGAACCAATGGAAATGCTAGATGACATCAAGGCTTTGTTTTGAAATTCAATTTCGGTCACTAAAATATCAATCGCTTATTATTAATTTGGTGTCAGATCACTTAGTAGCGGGATTTTCTATAAGAAAATACACATTGATTTAAACTTTTGAAAGAAAATACACATTGATTTCAATTTCGCTTTTGGAAATAAAAATCTTTTATTTTCAAAAAAAAAAATCGGTTTTTATTCTAATCAGGCGAAGATGATTGGAATTTGGTTTGAAATACGATTCATTAAGCCTTTTTTACATTTAAATTCGCATTTTATAACATGTACGATAAGTAGAGGAGCTATGTATGCTCTCGTCCCCTTTGAGGCAGGTCAGTGTCTGAACATGCACAGTTACGTATTGGAGAAAAAGTATCCTCTTTCTCTTGCTCTTTCGTATTTCTCTGTATATCCGTGAAATCTGTTAACACTCTGACCTACCTCAACGTGTGCCATAGCTCATCTACTACGATAAATAGACACTTTTAAAATTTAATTTATTCTTCATCACTTCAAAAACTCTGTGAACACCTTTTTCATGCAAACATCTGTTATCGGCCAATTTGAACATTTTTTCACAGTATCGCCATTGTTTCGTCTTCTTTCCGTCGATTTACCATACACGTTAAATAATTGTTTATATATTACTGGAAATGTCATTGAAACGTCAAATCCATGGAATCATTGGAAATTCGAAGTGTCAGACAGTGGAAATTTGTACAACGGAATCTGGAAAAAAATTCAATTGAAAAAATTAAAAAAGAAATTAATATCAAAACTGATTTTTGATTTCAAATGTTTACCATATTTTTTAGTTCATCACAAGTAAAATCGAGTAAAATATTCAAAACTTCAATTGACTTCATCATTCCACCTCAGATCATTTGATGAATGGCTTTTTCATGGCTTTGTCTCGTCCGGGTTGTTTTGAAGCTTTTTTCGCAATATCGACATTGTTTGGTCCTCTCTTGGTGCGTTAGCTTGTGTCTTCGCAGATAAGCTTTAGTCGAGAAATTTTCACCGCACATTTCACAAGCGAATGGTCTTCGTGAATAGAAAAAAACGATCAGTGAAAAAACCAATCATGGACGTAAGTTTGAAAAAAAATCTGATAAGACTACTTACCGTTCTTTGGTATGAAATGAGAAAATATGTTCCTTAAGACCGGATGGAAGTGTAAACCTCCGTTCACAGTGTGGACATTCATGAGGCCGCTTCTTTAGATGAACACGATTCTTGTGTTTAATCTTCGAGCTTTGAGTTCGAAACGATTTGCCGCATACTTCGCATAAAAACGGCGTTTCGCCGGTATGAGATCGTTGATGGTTGATTCTGTTATTGTTGGTCCGATAAGATTTATGACAAAAATCACATTTATACGGACACAATTCACCGTGATTCATTTGCATATGCTTCTCCAAATTCCGCGGTTTTTTATTACAAATCGTACATGCTTTTGGCAGTCGATTTTCACGATGACGTCGCATATGCTGTCGCACAATGTCTATCGTACTGAGCGTTATACCTAAGGGGAGAATCACAAAAGAAAAGAATTAATTGGAAATAATCGATAAGTAATCGACAAATAATCGAAAAATAATCGTAGCTTACAAGTGTATATATCAATAAATTGAAATAAGGCGACCACATAAATAAAAAGAAATCTTAAATGAAAACTTTCCATTACTGAAATCGCGATAGCTAAAAAATAGCTGAAAATTGAGATTTTTATGATTGATTGATGATCGTTGTAGCGGAGATCTGTGCATAGAGAAAAAAAAATGGAATAGCAAATTGTGTGTACAACATTGATTCCATGTGTGTTGTTCTCTCCACTGCTACTACTACCACCACAATCAAATCTCAATTTTCAGCAAATATTTTTGCTGTCGCGACAATAATGTAATAAATACATGTGGTCAAGCCTTACATTCTAATGGTTTTCAATAATCTCTCACTCACTCAGTCGCCCAGACACACAGTCTCTCTTTCTATCCTACATACATTCTGTTTTCTTCATTGTCATTTGGCAATGTCATAGTATGGATATTAGAATTAATGTATAATCGACAAATAATCGAAATAATCGAAAATAATCGAAATAATCGAAAATAATCGCAATAATCGAAAAAGAATCAATAACAATTATTAAATAATAGAAAGGTAATTTTTAAGTGAATTGTGTTGAATATATTTTTAAATCAAACATTGTTTTCATATATATAAGAGAGACAAATAAAATTTCATTGTCATTCATTCTTTGTCAGTCAACCTGTGTGTTTCATTCATAATATTAAGCATTCTCTGCAAATTGCCCCTAGGTTATACCCGGGCACATATCACAATGGAATACATTGCCGGATTTTGTCTTTCTATCTTGGGGCGGTCGTGATCTTCGTTGCTTCTTCAACACCATCGGTGACATTCTACCATTATCCATCGAATCTTCATAGAACGGAAGCATTGAATTACATGGTCCAACCTCGACTGGCTCAATTTTTATTTTTTCGTCAAGAACTTTGTCTGCTTTTTCCATTCCATGACTTTTCCCTGGACATGTTTTGTCTGATTTCCGATCTTCCAATTCGAATGTTACTTTTTGATACGACTGTTCCTCAAAGTCCACAACAATGCCATCATTCACAAACACCCGTTCAATATGCCGTTTGTCGTCTTGATGCTCAGTCAGAATGTGCCCTTCCAATGTCAATCCCGACTCAAATTCACACTCACAACTTTTACAACAGTAAACAAATATGTTGAACTCATTCAACAGCAGTAGCCCACAGGCTTTGTCCAGTTTCTCGATGCTGAAACACATTTTGAAATTTGATTTTTCCAAATTAGCGTCAAAACAAAGTCAAACTCCAACAATCGAAGTGAAATATTTAAAATCCAAATCACATTTTTGACCGTCAATGATTTTATATAGTATAAAACTTGAGAGATGTACGTCTTGAGTTGTTTACATTCCACTGAAAATAGCGACAGAACATCATTCGATGTAAAAAAAATTGGAATTTCGAATCAAATGTCAAAATAGCAGCCAATTTCGAAATGGTTCGAATTACAACTAACGAACAAGTAGGAAGAGAGGGGGAACAACGGTAAAATAGAAAGTAAATTGAAAATGAGAACATCAATCTGAAACAACAAATTACATTCAATTGAGACATATAACCAGTTTGATTATTCAAGAGAAAAAGTACACAATTGATCATCAATATAGACTTTTTTGGAGCAAATCTCTTTATTTCAATATATAAATGTCATGGATTTATAACAGTAACCAAGTTTAAAATAATATGAAAACATATCACCTCTTTTATTTCCTAAATTAGTCTCTAGTTGAGTAGATTTTTTTTGTTTCTCGTTTTTTTCCCATTCCAAATTCAAACATCAGTCCAAAAATTCCATTTTCAATTCCTAAACTATATATTCGTATTAATAATAAAAAAATATATCAATTTTTGCACTTTAAATCCTCCCAAATATCACTTTCATCCTATAGCCTTCATCCAAAGTCCACCACCATAAAAAAAACCTCAACGAAAATCTTAAAACTATCCAACGAACGCAAATCAACAAAATTATCAAATAAAGTCCAATAGAGACTCTTTGGCGGCTCTACATTGGAGAGTATAAAAATGAGTATTTTTTGCAGTCAAATATGAGCATTCTCTCGTCATTTCGGTAATAAGCCTCTGAAACTATATGTCATCCAACCCTTTATCTCTTAACTAATAATAAAAAAATAGTCTTATTTTCTGAAAAATCCATCTTCCCAACCAAAATATACCGTCCCACCCAAAAATACAAAACAATGAAAAAATAGTGGCCAAGTAAGTAGTAAATGTGTCGCTGTCGCAGGCTTTTACAGCGCTTTGTGAACCGTTCTTTCATGCCATCTTCTGGTTTCGGTGGTTTTGAATTTCTTGTCGCAGTATTTGCATGGATGCGTTTTCTTGCCGTGCGAATATTTATGTCTTCTTAAATATGTCCTGTTCGAATAGCTATTACCGCAAACATCGCAAGTATACTGTAATCAGACCCAAAAAAAAAAACATTAAAATATTTTAGTCAAAATGAAAATGTCTACTGCAAAATTGTATACCGGTCGAGCATCTGAATGTAATGCGTATGTATGCTCTTTTAGTTGCGATGGGCTGATGAAAGACCTATCACAGCTGTGACATTGATGTGGCAATTTTTCCGTGTGCATTCTCATGTTGTGTTTGTTGCGTTTATCTTGCGATGTGAACGATTTGCCACACGTCGGACAGAGAAATGGTTTCTCGCCTGTGTGTGATCTAATATGTATAATGCGGTTGCAGTTGTTTTTGAATACCGCATCGCAAAAGTCGCATTTATATGGTCGTGAATCGGTATGATTCACTTGCATGTGTTTCTCATAGTTGAACGGGGTCTTTTTACAAATTGGACATTCCTTGCGTAATGTAGCGAATTGCTTCTTTTTTATGTGAAGCTTCATATGTTGACGAACATTTTCTATGCAACTAAATGACACTTTATTTGCGGGACACATGTCACAATAAAACACCTCGGATTTGGTTGTTTTTTTGGTGCTTCGTTTGCTGTATGCTTTTGGTTTCGATGGTTTTTCGTCGGTAGTTTTTATTTCGAGTGACGCATCAGTGGTGCTGTCGCTTTCTTTCGTTGATTGAGAAGTATTGATTTCTTTTTGCACTGGCACCATCTCATCACTTGTTGGTACGCACAAATCGAATTCATCTTCTTCAGTAATTGGTTCATTTTTAATTATAACCATCGACAATGATTCAAGAAGACCATCGTTTACAAAAATATTTTCAACATGCTTTTGGCCGATGGGATGCTCGGATAAAATATGCGCCTCCAAGTCTGATCCACACTCAAAATTGATCAAACATTTTTTACAACAATAAATAAAGACACTGAATTCATTTAACAACAAAAATCCGCACGCTTCATCGATTTCATTTATTGTTATACACATTTTTACATTGAGAACTTACAGCATTTAACTCTTATTCGATGTGTTTTTCTTTTGATATGGTGAATGAAAGTTGGTTGGAAAGTGTTCGAATGTAGTACTGTCAAATATCAACTGGAACTTCGAATCAACAGTTTCCAATGGAATAAGAAGTCTGTTTGGAATGGTTGGAATGGTTGGAATGATGAAGTAAACACTAAACAGATTCCATTTCAAATAGAGGGGAAAATTATTAACGTAAAAATCGCATTCATGGTTTTAATTAACAATTGAGAAGAGATAATTTTTTAAATAAATTGCCTTTATCTGCTTTCAGATAGAAAACACTACAGTGGATACTGGATTGTATTCACATTAACGGATTTGATGAAAGTTGTGTAAAGAAGCCGGTTCAAAAACATACATACACACAAACGTTGTATGAATTGCCGAGTTCAAAATACACATATTCCTATCTTCCTCTCTTCTCTCACAACGCACAGTGCGTGTGTGGATTTGAACCGGATTTTTTACACTACTGATGAAGTGTGGAGTACATTGGTATCTACGTTATTTTTAATGCATAGTTCTACCGCTTTTCTTTGAAAGTCTGGTAAGAACTCTAAATTTAAAGGGAAAAATACAGCCGGTGTATATTTGTATGAGATTGGAGACTTTTTTTTGCGAATCTCGCTAATGAGCGCCATCTGATTTTAGTGTGAATTAGATGCAAAAACTGAATTTAATTCTGTAGCATTGAAATGAAAAAGTGAAAAAACAACAACAATAGCACGGCCACACAGAGCTGTACATCTATGCGTGCTGATGCATACATACACATATACGCTTTCTTCATTCTTTCATTCCATTGCTATACGTATCTCACTGGTCAACAGATCTATGTAGCCATGTTACTGTTGTTGTTTTTTTTCTCTTTTTCGATTCAATTCATTGTAACTAAATTGAGTTCAACTATGGAATACAAGATGGCACAGATGAGGGGAATTCGCATTTTGTCTCTTCATAGGCTTAGCCGGTTGGAAAAATATGTATATTATTTTTATTTCACTCGAAACTTTATTTTGTTTTTTTTCGGCTTTCAAAGAGCTGTTAATTCTTATAATTTTAAGTCACTTTAAAACTTATTGGAATACCAAACTGTGAAAACCTTAAATCAGTAGGAGAAAAAGCGCACGATTCAGTAAGGTCATACATTTTTCGCGTGCGTCTTATCTTGTTTGGACAATAAAAAAACATCATGAAATTAATGTGTCTTTTACTTTTCCGCACACTCAGTGTAGGAAAGGTATTGTATTAGGCCAAAGAATTAAAGTCATCCCAAAACATGTTTTCTATGCATATTTCATGTAGAAAACACGATTGGAGATGATTTTGGGGCATATTAATGTGCGTCGCTGTGTGTGATGTGTCCTGTGTCCTGTGTCCTGTGGCGTGTTGCCAAAATTTGTTAACTCGATAAATCTTCTTCCAAAAACTCAATTCAAATTCTGACTTTGCAGGATGATTTGGGACTACTAGGAGACGTGCTGATTAGTTTTTGAGCAATATCTGATGACCGGTGTAATTTTTTTTGGTCCGAAAGGAGTACCCACAATCCATACATTTTACTTTTTTGATCATTTTTCAACCATTTGGGTGACACGATGGTTTCGTGCTCAGACATGAAATTCAAAATCTGACTTTACGGGATGATTGGGCATTACGAGGAATAGATCTGGTCAAATTTTCAACGACATTGATTGATCGGTGTAAAACTTAGACTCTGAAGAGGCACTTATGAGAAAAATGCCTGAAAGAATGTGTAGTGAGAGGTTTTCTGGCACGAGAAACCCGAATCTGATGTTAGTTTTAAGATGCAATCAATTTTTCACAGACTTTTCATACAAAAATCCATAAAAAATTTCATTTTTGTATGAAAGATTTGCCTTTGTGGTACCGTAATGATGTGAAACTTTGAACAGGCTATGATTTTGATTGAAATTTCTTTAAACTTGGTGTGATTATTTATTTTGATAAGAAAATAATATTCACAAGTTTTCACGGTAATTTAAGTTACTGCAACCATACATAGACCATCATTTCTGTTTATTCCCAAAATATCGATTCCATGCGGAAAAGTCAGCTTGCGTACGTAAGCCTCTTTATTTAAAACTTATTTATGGTTTACTATTAAATATGTTTTTTTTCCATTGTTTATTCACATGCTTTTAATCCGTCCTATTTAAGTATTCAAACATTGGTATAAATGTACGGTGATAATCTACAAAACAACCATTCACATTCGAGAATTCAACTGTTACGCTAAATTTCGTCGTTATTTGTTCGTTATAACATTCATTTATCACCTGATATCAAAAAATTGGCATGATATAACATTCAGATTCCTAAAAATCGTATATAGCTAAAAAGTGATAGTCAAAAATAAAGTCATACAGAAGAGGAAGACGATGAATCAAACATTTTTACCGCCTCAGTGTGCAGCACAAAGTGTTGGCACTGCAAATCAATTGTTCATTCAATTGATTCAAACGTTAATCACTGCACACTGTACAATTCCACAGTCAAATATATGGCCAAATGACTATGGACCAACGGCAGAGAAATCCGGTAAAAATGATTAAAATATCATCACTTCAAATTGAAACCTGAACATAATCGGTGAAACGAAAAAATTTCAACATTTTATTTAAATTTGTTTCGAATAGATGGTGAATGGTTTGATTTTGTGGTGGTTGGTGCTGGCTCGGCCGGATGTGTGGTTGCAAATCGCTTGAGTGAAAATCCGAAATGGAAAGTTTTATTGGTAGAAGCAGGCGGCGATCCACCTTTTGAATCGGAGGTAAACACAATGCACAAAATTATGCCTCTTTATAATGTATTTATTTAAAAAAAAAAGGTTCCTGCGATGTCCTCAGCAAATCAGCGAACCGAATACGATTGGCAATTTTATGCAGAATCAAATACATCATGTAAAGCACTGAACGACAGTTGCTATTGGCCACGTGGAAAAATGTTGGGTGGTTCATCGGCTATGAATGGAATGTTATATGTTCGTGGTAATGATCGTGATTACGATCGATGGGCTGAAATGGGCAACAAAGGATGGGATTTCGAAAGTGTTTTGCCGTTTTTTAGAAAATCGGAAAATAATCACTTTTCGCAATTTGTTTACGGCGACAATGGAAGGTATCACAGTGACTCAGGCTCACTAAATATCGATTTCTTTGGCGAAGATCCGTTTGAAAAAACAATAATAGATGCTGGTATCGAAGATGGCTACAAATTTCTTAGCGATATAAACGCCGACAAATATATTGGATATACGAAGTTACAAGGAACTTGTTATCAAGGTCGTAGACAAAGTTCGGCCAAAGCATTTTTGGCAACGGCAAAAAATAGAACGAATCTTCATGTGTTGAAATATGGTCTGGTTCAAAAAGTTCTTCTGAACGAAACGAATCGAGCCTACGGCATTGAGTACAGAAGAAATGGAAAAATAATAAAAGCTTATGCAAAAAAAGAAGTGATTGTGTCGGCTGGTGCGATCATGTCGCCGGTAATTTTAATGTTGTCTGGCATTGGTCCGAAGGAAGAATTGAAAAAGCATGAAATTACACCAAAATATGATTTGGCCGTTGGAAAAAATCTATTGGATCATATTGCCACAACGATTTTCTTTCAATTTGATCCAACTTCAACTGACCCACTCGCTGCTTATGATAACACATACAACTTAGCTATTCACAGTACGGGTCGATTGACAAATGGACCAATTTCAACCTTATCTGCCTTTATTAATATCGACAAAGCAAAAAAAATTCCAAACATTCAAATTCAATACTCTTTTTTTACCAAAAATGCGTCCAATCTTTCAGCTTACATTAAAAAATGTCGATTTTATGATGAAATCGCTACCAAACTTATTGATATTAATCAAAATCATGATATCGTGGTGATAATGGTAACATTGCTTCATCCGAATTCAATTGGTTTTATGAATTTAAGTGGAAGCTCGATCTATGACAAACCAAATATTTTTCCAAACTATTTTGGCGCAGGCGACGATTTAAAAACGATGATAAGTGCTATTCGGCATCAAGTTTCCTATGAAAAGAGCAAATCTTATTCGGGAAAACATGGAAAATTTGTTAAATTGCCGCTGAAAGAATGTGAGGGAATTGAGTACGACACCGATGAATATTGGGAATGCTACATCCGGTACATGGCAGCAACTAACTACCATCCTATCGGTACTTGTAAAATGGGTCCACAATCAGACCACGAAGCAGTAGTTGACGATCGGCTCAGAGTTCGCGGCGTAGATGGACTTCGCGTCATTGATGCTAGCATGTAATTAATATTACTTTGATTATAAACTTGATAGGGTGACATTATTTTGAATTTTCCTATCGTCTTTGTAGAATGCCGTACATCACATCTGGAAATACAAATGCTCCTGCTATTATGATTGGAGAGAAAGGCGCTGAAATGGTTATTGAAGATAACAATTGATATTGTTCAATCTCGTTTTTCTTTTCAACTCCAGTAAATTTCAACATCGTCTGAATATGAAGACGAGAAATCTATTAATTCTCAACCTTAATCTGCATAAATTGGGAACATTAAATGTGAAAAATGAACAAAATTATGTTAAAAAATAAATTTTAACTTAAAATACAACAAAATTCTTTATTTTTCCTCATTTTCAATAGGTTACAAAACGTTAATCTACGATTAATCGTCCAATAAATAAAATCTTCTAATTTAACTCTCTCGCTAGTTCTTCCTTAAATCAACTGCAAACATTTCAAAACGCTCCATGAACTCCTTTCTCATGTATGCGTCTGTTATCGTGTAACTTGAACATTTTGTCACAGTATCTACACTGCTTTGTTGCAGAAAAATGTGTGAATTTGTGCTTACGCAAGTAGCTCGTGGAAGTGAAATTCTTATTACAAATATCACATCGATGTGGTCTCTCCTGAAAATAAATAGCCCATTGAGTAAAAATATCCGAACAAAAAGTAAAATTAATGTAATTACTTTAGTATGAACTCCATTAATATGATCCCTTAGTCGACTTTTTTTGATAAATGACCGATTACAAAGTGTGCATTGAAATTTCCGCAATTGTTTGTGCACATGAAGATCATGTTTACGCTCTGCAGCCTGCGAAGTGAATGACATACCACAAATCACGCACAGCCATGGTTTTTCGCCCGTATGATTTCTCATATGAATCACACAATTATGTTTGCCTTTGAATTTTGCATCACAAAAATTGCATTTGTACAACGGATGTTCGGAGTGATTCGTTCTCATATGATTCTCGTAGTTTCTTGGGTGAACTCCGCATTTCTCACATCTTTTTCTCTCTTTCGGCGGAATGTGATTGCTTTTCATGTGTTTGATCAAGACATTTTTCCCATCAAAATTCAATTCTGGACATATTTCACAGTACAGCACACATGGTTTAACTTTTTTCTTCTTCGTTGTCACCATCTCATCTTTGTTCTTCTTTTTTGGTAATCGTTTATTTGTCCTTTTCGTTGTTTCTCTCTCATTGGCAACTTTTGAACCAATTAGTCGCTTTGAAGGTAGGATTTCATCTTTGACTTTCTGTTTGTAAGCTGCAGACGGTCGACCTGTTCGATTATTTGAAACTTGAGTTGAGTCTTCATTGTTGAAATCATTTTGCGAATCGTTGCCAATTATACATTCAGCAATTGGTGGGTCTTCG